CGACCTGAAATTAGTGAGGTGACAGCATCTAGTACCAATGTAAGTTTTTCTGTTGTACAGAAATGTGATACTTCCGTTGAAGAAAACGTTTCTAGCATAACAAAATCTGATGAATGTGAAAGTGGCCCTCAAAGTGTTACTTCCCACCCATATGACATTATGTTCTTAAACTTAAAAAATCAAATCAAAATTTAACTAAACAATGTTGTCTAAATAAAATGTCAAAATTGTCTAGCTGTCTAAATTAGGGAAATAATAGTGCTTTATTACAGACTCGAATTTCTTTTAGTAGTTTCAGAAAATTATGAACACCCCCTTGAAAAAATTCTGCGTACGCCATTGCATGTGGTTATAATTTTTCTTTTCGGGACCAGCTCCCAAAGATATTACGATGATACGTTCAAAATTGTTATTTATCGATAGCTATTAGCTATATTAATTTCGAGGTGAGTCATTTTTATGTTTTGTTGTCATTAGTTGTGCTGAACTGTCTGAAATCGTTTTCATGTTTAATTAACTAAATAATTTGCTGCTATCTTATTAGCAATTTGATTACTGTTAGAAAATTTAATTTAAATTTATTTTTCGTGAAATCAATTATTATCCAGTATTGTTAATTGTTCAATATATTATTAAGCAGAATAAAATGTTCTTAAGATTCTTAATTTGTCAGGGTTTAAATTTTACAATATATTTTTTTCTTTCTCTTTTCTATTTTGGTAATTAATTTTACCAGGTCCGTCATTTTACAATTTACAAGTATACACCACTAATTGCCGTATTTGTGAAAGATCGGGAGAGCTGCATTACGTTTACCGGTTGTTGAGAGCATGTGGTGAGAGCTGTATTCAGTTCAACGAGTTTTTTTAGTCGTTTGTCGTGAGAGCTGAATTTAGTTCAACGAGTTTTTTTAGGCGTTTGTCGTGGGAACTGTGTTAAGTTCACGGTTGTGTCTGTGTGGTCTCTCCTGCGTTGCTTTTAGCAGCCGAGTGTGTGCAGGTTCCCGTTGTGTGTGAATGAGATCAGGGCCGGAATAAGAGCACGCGGGGCCCTAAACCATTCAAATTTTTGGATCCTTAGATTAAATTTTTTTTCTCGTATATTTTTTACTTATTCAAATATAAAAGTATTTATGTATCTTTTCATTTAAGAAAGCGAATTTAAAATTAAAATAAATAATAATAAATTAAATTTTATTTTATTTTGTTAAATTAAAGCTAATAAAAATATCTTTTTTAATTAATATATATTTGAAATTGAAATTTTTTTTAAAATCTTTGTTTTTCTTAATTTCTAAAAATTTATTTTCAAAAAAAATTTTTTAAGGACCTTAGACCATGGCCTAATGGGTGATCCGGCCCTGAATAAGACTGAGAAGCAACAATGTGAGGAAGACGATGACGCAGTCACAAATAGAAAGTCAACTGTTCAATGTGTACCATTTATCGAAATAGGCGTGATCATAGCTCGTCCGCAGGTCACCAATGTGGGTAGAGTTTTCGACAATGCCAACCTTTAACTATCAAAAGGTATATCAAGATTCAGTCAAGTTGGCGTGTCTTATATACTAGTGAATTGATGTTTTTAATAATCGTATTGGTAGTTATGCCACAAACACAAATCACAATAATAAAACTCTCTAGAATATTAAACCAGTTCACACATCACTTCGAATGCATAACATAAGCGGAGGGATACGCCGGAAGTTTTCTAAATTTCTTCCGGTCTTAAGAATCTTGTTATTGTTTATGTTCTGTCAACCATCTGGAAGAAGTTGAAACACGGATTGCTATTCAGCACATCTCAGCTTGAGTTAAATTTTGAAATTTCTATAGGACTATTCTTACTGGCTGCAACTTTTTCGATTGCGAATAAAAACCAGATTTCTTAAATATACTTATCTGCAAAAAACTCGCTAACCTTATTCTCGTTTGCGTGTGATTTTTTTTCGCCTGCGTAAAAATCGCTTCCAGTGAGAATGGCCTTTAAACGAAAATTTAAATTTTGATTGAAGGTACGGAATGAGAACCTAACTGCTGCTGAAACTAATAAAAGATGAGACGAGCGATTAATTCTCACTTGGGCCGGATCACGCTATTGGTCGAAAATTGCATCACTGTTTGGGGAAGGGATATACTGTGTATGGATGGTGTTTTCTACACTAGGGAGCGCTGCAAGCTCGGGACTGCCTAAATTTCCGGGTTACTGTTTCAGTTGTATTTTAAAGCCATTTGGCATCATTGTGTTTTGAGATTCTTGCAAACAATGCATTTGATTACTTATTACTTATGTTTACAATGCTAACAATACTGTTTACAATACTAAAAGTGTTAACACTAACGTAAGATGGTGCACAGCTTGCAACACGAACAAACAGTAATAAACAAATGGAAAGGGGCCAAATCAAGACTGCCAAAAAAGTGAGTTATTCAAAATCTAGCAACCATATCACCTTTTTTAATAATAAATAACAAAATAACTAAAACAAATTTTCACTCCAAACTCCCCAGAATTACATAATAACATTAATATCTTATGAAATACGGCAGATTTGAGCTCAGAAGTTATCTAGTTTATTTCTTTTATTGAAAACAAAATTATCCGTTTGAAAACATCGCCTATCAGCAGAACCTGACTAAGGCAAGGGCATACGGGGCAGTTGCCCCGGGCCCCACATCAGAGGGGGCCCCAAAATCGAATAGAAAGTTTATTTTATGTTTCTTTTTTTAATAAACTTTTTTTAATAAACTTTTTTTAAACAAAATATCATTACCGTGTCAAATCCGTCAGTTTTATGTTTGCTTCTTCATTAATCTATCGTATGAATACAAAAAAAATCTATAATTCGTAAATCGATGATTTTCTGGTACGGAATTCAGCTAAATTTACGCAATTACGATACACAAATTCGGCCAATCAAAAGCCTGTATTTTTACACACCGCAAAATGCGATATGTTTACAAAAAATTCAGGCTTCTGATTGGCTTAATTGAGCCATCATAATTTCATAAATTTAGCTGAATTCCGCCCTAATGTCAGCAAGGATATTTTTTTTTTCAGTTTCAGATGACAAAGTTAACCCATCAGAAAACTGCATTCGGCATGATGGACATAGAATTGTCCGAAAATCAGTAAAACGGACAGAACGATATTTCGTTTGACCATTGAAGGACTTGATAGCTATTTTAGGTTCTGGTCAATTTTGTTATTATATATGTATAATGAGATGAATATTTAAATACCTCCATAAAGTTCGGTTCTTCATTGAAGTAGTGAAGCAGAGGGGGGCCCCCAAAGAAATTTTTGCCCCGGGACCCAATTAGGCTAAGTCGGGCCCTGCCTATCAGAATAACATGTAGTAAGCAGCTGCAAACTTTTTAACCGGAACTAGAGTAGGTCCCGAGCTCGAGATTGTTATTGTTTACATTTCTATTGAAAACATCATCCATTGCATAGTATTTTGGCGACAGATTTTATATTTAGTTTTCAAATGCGCTCTATTTACACGTAGTATTAATGTTGAGTAATAAAGACAATATTCACATTTTGCACAGTTTTGCGGTAATTTTTTATTAGAATCTAAGTGACATTAAGCTACACTGCTTTTACGCCATTAGCAACTGGGGCTGTTCTAGAAATGCAGGGGAGGGGGGGAGGCTAGCCCAGAATTTTGGTTATTACTTTAAACTAAATTTACGTGTTGCTTGATTATGAAGTTTTTAAAATTATTCATAACACAACTAAATTGCGATGTATGAGTAAATTTGAGCTTATGTTTATTTCAATTTTTGTTACTTCATAACTGCAAAAGATAATTCTTATGGAAAAACAAACAAACGAAAAAAAAAACTTAGTTGTAATATTACTATACCATCTTATATTTGTAAAAACATTCATTATTTTTATTGTTTTTAGCTTTGATGAATTTAAATCAATTAAAACATAAATATTGTCTGAAATGCTGAAGTGGACATTCACCTATCTCCCCACCCTAACGACGACATAATATTAAGTAAATATTTGCAAGAAATAAATAAATTCCGAGCAAGCAAGTGTGCATACGAAATTTGTCGCCAAACTCATACAATCACCAGCCAACAGCCACCATCTCTCTTCCCCCAAACAGTGATGTCATTTTCGACCAATAGTGTGATCCGGCCCAAGTGAGAATTAATCGCTCGTTATTTACACTGAAAGCGAAAAATCGCCCACGAATGGAATCTGATTAGATAAATATTTTTACAGGATAAAGACTTATCATTCAGGTACAACTAATTTTAATAACACACTCACTCATTCAATAAACATAGCATGATTTACGGAAGTCTCATCTTACGAGCGATAATATTTCTCTAATCAGATTCCATTCGTGAGCGATTTTTCGCTTTCAGTGAAAATAGCCTTGAGACTCCACCTACACATATTGTAAAAATTTTTACATACTTTCTCCGTGTAAAAGAAGAAAAGAACAGAAATAGGCAGAATAAAGTTCCTTACTTCATCATGAAGATGAAAACATAACAAACAACGGAATTGAAATGGCGACTTCGAAAGGAGCAAATACCTATAATCGATTGAATTGGGAGGAAGCTGTAAGTATTAATAAGGTTTCTGTATTTATTCAAAATGTAGAATTTGAATTTCAATGCGATTACTTTTATTTTAGGATTTCCCCGTTCTCTGCCAAACTTGTCTTGGTGATAATCCCTACATTCGTATGGTAAGAAATATTTTTTCTAGATCTTTATTATTTGCACAAAATATTCTTAACAGACAAATAACCATGTCTTTATAGTGATATGTACTTCCATAGCTAACATTAATGGTTCTTATCTTTCTTATTTCGAGAGATCCGTCTTCGTGACACATTTAGTTATTTATTTTTAAACAGGGTTCGTGATTTTTTTGATTTTCTTTAAAAAAAAATCGGATTATTTTGATTTAAATCAGATTTTTTTTATTTCTATTCAAAAACACTGTAAGAGCTTTAATTTATGATTAAAAAAACCTTATAAATGTTTAATCAAAATTAAATTAATATTAAAACTATATTATAACAATATTTTAGAAGCTCTAACTTACTAAAATAATTTTTCATTATAATGCATAGCGACCATTTTGATACAAGGGCATGATTGAAATTAAAAGACAAGATAAAATAGATAATATAAAGAATACTACTTTAACTAGTAACACAAAGTTTCAATTAGCACACCATAATTTAAATTTAAAATTGTGATCTCTTTTTTTTTCCTCGTGATTTATAAAATGGCAAAATAAATTCAACAGATTGTGTATATAAATGTTGTCATTCATCAAAAAATAAATATTCAATCTATAAATTTTTATGTTAAAATATTCATTTTTAATCCTATATCAAAATACATAAGTTAAGCTAAAAATCATTTTAAAAAAATCTATGTACTCATTGGAATTTTTTTCACCAAAGAAAATCTGATAATTTCAAAGATACCGTATACATATTATAAGAAGAAAAAAAAAATACCAGTTAATAAACCCTACTGCTTCAAATAGACTTTGTAAGGGAAGAATGACACTGTATCAGAAAAAAATATCTGAACTCAGCTTCTTTTTTTTTTTTTCTATTTTTGGCATATTAAGGTAATTTCTTTTTAATATTACCTCGAGCTTTAGAAACATAGAAATTTCCATCAATAAACTATAATGTAGATTTGAATTCCATGCTTTTTTAATCAAAAGGTGGAATTTTAATTAACATTTGCTTTATTTGCTTTCTACAGCTATGCAAGTCTATATTAAGACAGCATTAAATATTTACTTTAATCTGTACTTTCAATGTTAAGAATCAAAAGATTTTTAAACATTTAATTTCAAATGTGTTTAACACACACCAAGAAAAAAAGTAATTTCGTTAACTAAAATTAATTAATGCAGCAATTTATTTAAAATAAATTTTAAAACTAAGAAAATAAAATAATAAAAGTATCAATATTTAAAGCACTGTTTTTTAACTTTTAAAATCAATATAATATATATATATAAATTAGTTGATTTAAATCAATGATTTTTTTAAAAAAAATCATTTGATTTTATTCATGATTTAAATCAAACTGATTTAAATCAACGAACCCTGTTTTTAAATATAGGTAAAGTAAACTGGAACATATTGTGTTCATCCAGCAATAAGTATTGAAAGGAATACCCCTCCCCTATTTCTTACAAGGACCTATGAAATTAAAATTTAATACTTAGGTAAACTTGTGGCTTGACGATCTTAATGGTTTAATTAGAGCTTAATTTCCTAGGGAGATTTCCGTATTACGAATTGTGACGACTCTTATGGCTCGATTTTTAGAGCTTCTCCATTGATGGCCCAGACATCTCAGCCTATTATTGCTGATTATTTGTGAAATTTGGGGCTGCTTATAACTGATATCACTATTTAGGTTGTAATCAAACAGTAAAATAATGCTTTTTCGTCTGAATTTAAGCAGTTTTTTTCAGAATATGGTAAAATTAGAAATTTTGTTGTTACTGTTTGGAACATGTGACCACTTTTCAAATTATTAAAAGAACTAACCCTATATTATAAGTAGAGCCCGGAAGTTCAGGCAAAATGCCATAAATGCCCTTTTCTGCCTTTTTTAAACGTTTTCTTCTGAAAATGCCTTTTTCTTTCCTTTTGTTCATAAATGCCTATTTCTGTCTAATTTAAAATTTTTCTGCAAAGCTTTTTGTGCTTTTGACCGAGCATAAACGCAAAATGAAGAAATTTTGAAGTACAGAAATGGTTGACTGTCATCCGACGTATTGTAATGCATTTATAGAGATTAGGACTTTATTCCTTTTGTCTTATTAATATTTTCTCTCCGTCTCTTCGTGGCGTCACCTTCGTCGTGGCGTCACCTTCGCCCGATGCGCTTTGCAAGGAGAGAGAGAAAGGGAGTGAAAAGATTGGAGTTATTTTTACTTACAGTCAATAGAATTTATTCTTACTTACGGCCCATATAGCCTACACCATCGAATAACTCGTATGCTCTCTTATCTACAAAACGAATTCACCAAGCTGGTTGAGCACATTGTAGCAGGAGCACGAAAAAGTTTTCTAGTATACTAGTTATTTCTAAAATGCCTAAAGTAAAAGCCTGCACAAGCAAAAAACTGGACAGTTTTGTGAAAGAATTTGGGTCGGATGTGTTTTCTACTGATGGGAGCATTCTGTTTTGTAAGGCATGCGAGAAGTCAGTAAATTTTGAGAAGAAGTATTTTATATCTCAGCACTTGGAGACATCTAAGCATAAAACAGCAAAAGATAAAAAAGATGGGAAAACATCGACTCTGATTTCCACCTGTTTTCAATTATCTTCTCGCAAATCGGAATTTGCAATGGATTTATGCAGATCATTTGTAGATGCCGGCATTCCGCTGTGGAAACTTGAAAATAAAAGTATACGAGCTTTTTTGCAAAAATATACGAATCAAAGTGTGCCCTGTGAATCAACTTTAAGGAAAACTTATTTAGATGACTGTTATACCGAAGTTCTTAAAACTATTCAAAATGAAATCGGAACGAAAAACATATGGCTATCTATAGATGAAACGACAGATGTAACTGGACGATATGTTGCGAATGTTATTGTTGGTGTTATGGACCCATTTGAAAAACATAAAATCTTTTTGTTGACATCTGAACAGTTGCAAAAGACTAACAGTACTACAATTGCACAGTTGTTCACTAATGCACTGGCTTTACTTTGGCCAAATGGTACTGAGCATGAAAGAGTGCTATTATTTCTTACAGATGCAGCCTCCTACATGAAAAAAGCTGGAAATGCCTTAAAAGTTTTATTTCCTAATATGATCCATCTAACGTGCCTTGCTCATGCATTGCACAGGATAGCAGAGGAAGTAAGAGGTCTCTATCCTGAGGTAGACTCGCTTGTTTCTAGTGTGAAAAAAGTATTTGTGAAAGCCCCTTCAAGAGTTCAAGTGTTCAAAGAAATTGCACCAGACATTCAATTACCTCCTAAACCGATCCTTACGAGATGGGGAACATGGATTTCAGCAGTCTCATACTACTGCACAAATTTTGAGGAAGTTACTCGAGTCCTTACCAGCTTTTCGGATGAAGAGGCAATATCCATAAGAAAAAGTAAAAATCTGCTTAGCAGTTCTAAAATTAAAAATGAACTGACTTTTATTTCAACTTATTTTGGGAAGCTCCCTGGAGCTATTGAACACATGGAAAAAAGAAATATGTCTTTGTCCGAGTCACTAAAGATTTTCGACAATACTATTGAAGAACTAATGTCTGTGCCTGGACCATCTGGTGACATAATAAGGAAGAAATGTGAAAACGTCATCTCTGCAAATACAGACTTTGAATGCATCAAGGACATTGCAAAAGTACTTTCTGGTGATACTACAGTTGAACTTACCATATCTCCTACCATGGCAAGTTGTTTTAGGTACGCGCCCATAACTTCTGTCGAAGTAGAAAGATCCTTCTCTTTGTTTAAAACTATATTGACTGACAGGAGACAAAATTTCTCTTTCGAAAATTTGAAAAAGCATCTAGTTGTGATGTGCAACAACAACCAATCATCAGAATAAATCTGCATACAATATTATTGTAAGTACGAGTTTTCAATTTTTATTTCGCACCTACGCAGTTGAGGGTTTTTTTTTGTGCAATTATGTCCACTTCTTTTGTACTATTGCTACGACAGTCGAGTGAAATGAATATGTAGGTATACCGGATACTTCTAGCAACTTTTTTTATACCTTGGATACCTATATGGGCTTTTAGGCATTACCAACTACCATTTTGCTCCAATTTTAAGTGCCTTTTTTAAGTGCCTATTTCAAGCTTTTTAAATGCCTTTTTGCCTGCCTATTTTTGCATTTTTTATTGCCTGAAATTCCGGGCTTTAATTATAAGGCATTCCTTTTGCAACATTTCTCAAAATGCGGTAAACCTTACAAAGATCATTACCGAAAACGAAGAAAAATTTTGTGAAACACGCATGGAATAAAAAATATTCGATAATAATTTTATTTGATTTTAATAATAATTTTCTGTGTTTTTTAAAAGAAATTCTACATGGAGTGCTTTTTCAAGATAAAAAAGTGGTGAATGGATGCTAAATGGCCGATAATTTTTTAATTGCTAAATACATTTAGTGGCTGGCAGCTTTTGCTAGTTTTGCCTTGCATAAGGTGACCATCTCAGATTATTATTTTTTTTAAATTAATGTTTTTTTATTTCTCCACAAATTGTGCAAAAAGTTTTTTTCTGTTGGTGTTGTTGTTACAGCAATTTAAACATAGACTAAAAAATCTGTTTTTTTTTTTTTTTTTTTTTTTTTGTTTGTTTTTTTTTTTCCCCCTCAAAAAAAAGAATTGTAATAGTATTTGTCTTAAATGTTATGTCTTTTTAATGTATTTCTAGAATAAGGAAAAGTTTGGAAAGGAGTGCAAAATATGTTCTCGTCCTTTTACAGTGTTTCGATGGTGCTCTGGTTCTAGAATGAGATTTAAAAAGACTGAAGTTTGTCAAATGTGTAGCAAGCAAAAGAATGTTTGCCAAACATGCTTGTTAGATTTAGAATTTGGTAAGTTTATACATAGTAAATTATATTTTATGTGACATGAAAATAGTATTGCTATTTCATTTTTTTTTCTTGCAATATTTTTTAAAAAATTTTTGTTCTTTTTTTTTTTTTTTTTTTTTTTTTTTTTTTTTTTTTTTTTTTTTTTTTTTTTTTTTNTTTTTTTTTTTTTTTTGTTTCTTTCATGCTTTAATTTATTAAAAGAGTGTTAGAGAATTTAAATTAGTTAAAGGCATAAGCTGTTGTCCTCATATTAAAATGGAAATGTCAGAATTTAAAGGTTAGTGCAAAAAATTAGTTCTCTTCTGTTTGTCATTGATTGAACAAAACATATACCATCAAAAATCTTTCAAATTCTATAGAAGTATTTTGATGGCAAATAAGAATGCTGCTTGATAATTCAAATAGGTTTCAAAATTATATAAACCATCCAGAGATATTTCCGAAACTGTTTCACCTTTTACCCTAAAAAGCTGCAAAAACCAAGGAATGTATGAAAAACATGAATTTTTATTAATTATATTGGTTTATTAGAAAGAAGGAAAACAAAACCTTGTATTTTTGTTCTGCACTGTACAGGTACAGGTTACAAGTGGGGCAACCAGATGACCAAAATTTTAAACTTAATATTAAGTGAATAAGGTACCATTTCCAAGGTAATAAAATTGAAGATTTAGAAATAATGACTTATACCTTAATATCAGTTTTCATTAAGTTACGGACTATTAAATGAAGGGCAACGTCATTAGAAATTTTTAACTATGGTAAATGAATCTCTAACAAAATACAGTTTTTTTTTTAAATTTCGCACAAACAGATAATGGTAGAAATAATAATTAAAGTGAACTGTAACAAAACAGGTTTATTAACAGGCACGAATGTGTTGAAGCATTTCACGTTTTGCTTTACAAAAAAAATTCTCATGCACTTGTGATATTTTACATATGATACTAAAATACATAATTAATCGTACTACGCAATTAAGGTTTAACATAATTAAATTATTTTTTCTGTTTAAAGCTGTAAATTAATAATTAATTGTTTTTGCATCAGACACCACTGCTTTTCTTTTTATTACATTTGTTTTTATTTATTTCCGTCTCTTATTTTACTTTTTCTTTATGAATAGAATATTCCTTTAGGTTAATTTACAATATTATATTTCACTTCAGTGACCTAATAAAATTTGTTTGACTATGCTGTGCTTTAAGTTATTTATATTATAACTTAAAATTGATCAATGATGTTTTTATGAGTATTTTTTTATTCTGTTTATCTATTTGAGGTAAGCAACTCAGTTTTAATTTTTTGAGAAACAATTTAACTTCAGTTAAAACATTTTAAATCAATCATTTTTCTTGGATCTTGAAAAATGTATGTATTTAGAGAAAAAAAATTTAAAAACATTCTGTAGTTATTTATTTATTTTTTAAGGAAAAAAACCTTCTTGCATGGCAAACTACAACAATAACACACATCCTATTCAATTATTAGGTAAATGGGATACAAATTGTTAGTGATTGTTGGACCTGTAGTTGGCAAATAAAACTGGAGAGTGGGTATTCAAAAAGGGGTATGAAAAAATGTCATAAATTTGGCTCATTTCTAATGCTACAACCAGGGACATATGCTCTTTCTCGTTCACTATTAGCTATACCACCAAATGCAAGTTAAAGGTACATCTGTTATTGTCTGCTTTGAAACATCAAATACAGTAGGGAACCGATTATCCGGAACGATCGGGACCATCGCTATTCCGGATAACTGATTTTTCCGGTTTTCTGAATCGCTACAAAAAGCCGTTTTTTTATTGTTAAACCCAACTAAAAAAAATTTTTTTTTGGAAATAATCCTAAAAAGAAGAAAAAACGATGGAGTAATGCACTAATGATTATTTCCACAATGATGGTAAGGTAAACATCTTTCAAAAGAGAACGAAAAATCCTGAAATCTTATGAGGAAAAAGTTTGTTTTTTTTTTAAAAAATGGCGGGAAAATTTATCGAATTTCGTTCCGGTTTTTTGGTTTTCCGGTTTTCTGATTTCCGGATAACGGGTTCTGTACTGTATAATCAATTGTAAGAACTGTACAAAGGGATCATTTAATTTTATGCGGGCCGTTAATAAAGCTAATATTTTTCCTGTGCGATCTTTTTTTTATCAGAAAAAGTTTTTTATACAGTAAAAAAATATAATAATAAAAATTCCCTTTTAATGTACGTCTAATAATTTTTGTGACATCTTTTTCGATAGATTTTTTTATTGTATATAAAAAATAATGCAACTTCTTGGCATTTTTTTTCCGCATTTCTTTATTAAAAGCAAAGGGAAAAAAATTTGCAGCAGTTTTTTTTTATTCCAGGATTTTTAAAATTATTAAATTTAAGGAAATATTGCTTAAATATGAGTTTTATTTGCATTGTTCTTAATATACCTTTCGCAGTTAAAATTAAAATTCATGATTTTTCAACTAACTTTTACGAGATGGAAAATTTTATAGAACACATTGATCTATCCATTCCAACACGAAATAGGAGGACGTTAAAAAAAAATTTGGGCACTTGTATTTGCTATTTGGTACGTTTTGTGCAAAAACTACAAAACTAACACTTTAAAAAAAAAAAAAATTTTATTCATTAAAAGTAATATATTCTACAAGCCAGGGTTGGCAGGTTTTTGACATGTGACAGTTTAAACCGTCACGTCAAAAACCTCACTGTCAAAAACCTATATTCATTTGTGAAATTTAATTAATACATAAAATTTATATATTTTTTTATAAAGGATAGTGTTTCTAAATATGTTCTAGAAAAAATAAATTTAAAATTTTGAAGAAACACTTATATTTTGAATAGTAACCAAAATCTTGTACTTTTGAAAGCTCACATCTTTTGTAATATTATGTATTCATTTTCATGTGTTATTGAAAATCTGCAGTGATATTATTAAGAAATTTATTTATAACCAAATTTAGTGTATAGTATAGATTATACTAAAAATTAGACATTTTTAAAGATAAACATTAGCAGTTTTGTACATTAGACATCTTTTAAAGAAAAATCTTTTTAATATTCTTTTAAATCTTCTTAATAATCTTTTTAATATAAGGCAATACAAATTTAAGTACTTTCTGTTAAATACACAGAGTAGTTAGTTTCGATTTACAGTATATTCAGCCTATTCATTTACTATGCTGAAAATTTAGTTTATCCAAATACTTGTGAATTTCATTTTGCTAAATATGATATAGTTTTGTTGAATATCTAAATATTCAGCTGTTGAATAATTACTTCTTGCTTTCAAGATATGCATTATTTGTATTCTTAATACAAGTGGAGAAAAAAAAATAAGGGATAAAAATGGTTTTAAAATGATAAGTGTAATAATTATAAATAAATATAATAAACAATATGAATTATATTTATCATTATTCTTAAATATAACTACTTTTAAATTCAAATTAACATACTGGATAAAGATATTCGGTATAACATTAAAAAAGAAATTTTATACACTTGTATCAAGTTTGTATTTATACAACATAACTTGTAAGTTCCTTATAAATATTAGTTATATGTTCCTAATATGTCAAAAATGCATAGTAATAAACTTTTAATTTTCTTAAGTATCAAAAAAAAAATTTTTTTTTAAATATAAATATTTAAACAATTTTTGTGCAAAATTTTTCTGCACATGCATTTGAATATAAATTTCTGAGATTTTAAATCTGCTACTTTACCTTAATTTTAATTAAAAAATATTTTAAAACCTGCTGATTACCTTTAGTATAATTAAATTTCAATATAATGCATGGCAACTGTTGGTAGTTTTGAAGTTTATATATTTTCTTGGCAAACTTCAGTTTTTGACGGGATTTTTGACAGTTTAAACCAGTATTATACCCTTGTCATGTCAAAAACCACTTTTTGACGTCAAAAACCCAACCCTGCTACAAGCTAAACATATTTTCTTCACATCTATTCAAGATGATATATTAAGAAAATAACATTTTAAATAAAATACTTTATAATATTTACACTTATCTTGTACCCTACACTTTATGAGAAAAGAAAATACACTGACCTGAAAATTTTAAGTAAGCATAAGTTTCCACCAGAAATGCTTATGTTTACTTTCATGAAAAGCTAAAAGTGATAAAAACTTATTAGGAAGGAATTTAAAAAGCATTGACATCTCAAAATAAGAGTGCTGCAGAGATAATATAAGAAATTAGTGTCAATAAGAAAATCCACCAAGAAGCTAAATTTATTGGTTTGATAAAACATCTAAACGATTGATTTTTATTCTTCATTGTTACTTTAAAATATGCAATTTATTTTTGGATGATGTAAATATTGGGACATTTCTTGACGTCTAGAAAATTAAAATGTCTCAACATTGAATGAAGCATTCCATATCTATTTTAATGTCAGTTAAATAACTATTTCTACACTTTATTTTCTTTTAAAAAAATATAGAATTATGTTATGAAATGGATCTATCTATTTTACTCTTAAATAGCGTCTATGTCTATAAAGAGTTTTAAATTTATGGGCATTTTTATGGTAACCGAGAAATATATTTTGTGTACTTTTGTTGTGTAATTTCTATTAATTGAATAATATAATATTTAAACAATGCGCGGACCGGCCTGTGTAGGAGTTAGGGAACTACCCTTGCATCAGAAAGGTTCAGGGTTCAAATCCCGGGCAAGGCAGGGATGTTCTTTCTTTCTCTGTACTATCTGTCCTTACTGTGGGAGCAACGTTGGCCCACCTAATATGGTGCCCCAGAAGGAGTGGCCAGCAAATCTGCCCTTCAGATGACTGTATGATGCCCAGGTGGGTCATTTTAAAAGGTGAGCATTGAAAGAAGAAAAAATATTTAAGCAATGCTTATTTTTATAGCAAAATATTTAAGCAATGCTTATTTTTATAGCAATGCTTATTGTATAGCATTTCTTTTATCCTTTTCCATAGTTTTTTTTTTCCTTTCATTTATTTCAAACATAAATATTTTTTTTTTTTTTTTTTTTTTTTTTTTTTTTTTTTTTTTTTTTTTTTTNTTTTTTTCTTTTTTTGAAAAAAAAAAGAAACATTATATTGTGTGAGTTATTTGGTATAAATGATTTGTTTTTGCTGATAATAAAAATAATATATCCAGCAATTTTAAATAATCTGTTTTAACTGTTTCAAATTTTTTACTTTTTATATCTTGAACTCTGCTATTTATATATACTAGTTATTTTTTGTATACTCTTGTAATTTATATTCATAAGTTACATAATTTTACATTAAAATAAGTAATATAACTTTTTATTTAAGTAAAAATTTATTTGTGACTTTTCAGTCACAAATTAAGAAGTCTTCATAACATTAAAATAAATTTAACTAATTTATTTGGTGAATCTGGTGTTTGGAGATTTGTATTGATATATTTTTTTGTTTTCTATCAAGGTTTGCCTGTACAAGTACGAGATCATGCTTTAAATTTAAAGGATGAGATTCCCAAGTCTGAAGTCAATAGAGAATATTATTCTCAAAATATGGAACAAGAGGTATATTTATTTTTACTTACACCTATATTAAAAGCTTTAAAAATTAATAAAATTTATTTAATATTATGAAGTGTTAACACTATGAAGAGTTAAATTTATTCCAAATCTTACAGTATTATCAATGTTTGCCCTTACTTATACCTTGCTTTATTAGGTAAGATGTTTTCAGAAGTTCAATTAATCAAAATAAAGAAATTTTTCTTTGCTTTAATTTCTATCAGTCATGGCCAGCTCATAGTGAAAATTTACCTCAATTAATTACCTTTACACAACTATTTTTATTTCTATTATTGTTAATTTTAGAATAATCTGGTTTAGGAACACATTTCTAAAGCGTTACCATAAACAAAATGTAGTAATTGTTTTAGGCAGCTTCTAAAATATAAATTCATTGAAAAGGCTTTCGCATGCCATCTTCGTTTTCTTTTTTTTTTTTTAACTTGAGATTACTCTGACATAATGAAACAATAAATAAATGAATAGCTAAATAACAATAATTATTAAAGATGTGCATTAAACTCATAGAATTTAGCAACAATGGTGACTTGAAGCAGGTAGATAACAATTAACATTTAAACATACTACTTCACATTTTAATTATAACTGCTATAATTTGCTAATACTATTTTGCACATAATTATTAGAGTGTATGTAACAAACTCGTGCGTGCATATGTGAACTGTAAACTTGTTTTTACTTTACAAAGCTATATCTCTGATGATAGATATTAAATGACCGAAAAAACAGGATTGTCTGAAACAATTTAATTTGCCAGCTTGTGTCAAGATTTTTTTTTGCATTTTTTCAGTCATAATCAAGGTATTCCGAAAAGTTTGCCATGGTCATTAAAATTAAAATTCTCTCATCGTTAATAAAATAAAAATTATAAAATGTATCTTTTAATGTTAGTTTTTTTTTGTTATGCTATAGTATTTTTTTTTCTAATTGTCAGTAGAAATTATGTATGTTACTTTTCTTTTAATTATTCTACAGATTATATATATATTTCTAGATTGCTAATGCTGATGGAAGTCAGCCTTTTGGAGCTCTTGGAAAAGCTCAGACACCTGTTGATCTTCTCATGAAATTATCTAGAACCACCCCATACTACAAGAGGAATAGACCCCACATATGTAGCTTTTGGGTCAAAGGTGAGTGTAAACGTGGTGAAAAGTGTTCTTACAGGTAAGAGTGTTTTTGTTTTTAAATCTGAATAATTAAATTTTTTCAGTTAAATTCACTGCTTAAAATGTAAAACTGTGATGGTTTATACATTTTTTAACTTTATTTAATTTTATCAATATCTCAAAAACTTAATTTTCTGCCATAATGGATTTCATTTAAATTACCAATTATCCTGATTATTTAAATTTTTATTCATATAACTGAGCTTTTTTAAAAATGTTCAATATTTCAAACAATCAAGGGACTAAAATAAAAACATCTCCTCTTATAATATTCCGCAGTTTGTTTTCTGAAATCAATATTTTTTAAGGGGATCTTAACAATTTTTTAACAGAGCATTTTGTTGCATTGTCTGCCCAAGTGTCTCCTATTTTCCTATTTTTTACTCTCTTTGTTTTGTAATGCTTTATATTTGTTATTCGACCAAGGAATTGATACACAATCTCACCTAGAAGGCTTAAGTATTTGGAGAGTGCAATTTTTGAAAATATAGGATATTAGTTATATTATTTTAACAAGATGGAATAAGATGATTAAAAACCAAAAATTTAATTTAAAAAATTTATTTTACTCTTTTTTTTTTCTTTTTTTACAAATTTCCTCCTGGTTCTTAAAATCTTGGTATTTTATTACAAATCATTATTTTTAAGCATCTTTTTCTTTTATTCGCTTGATTTGTGAAGTTGAAATTATAAGTTCATTAATCATATTTTATGAAATCAAGCTCTAAGAAAATAATATTAAGAAGGAAAACAATTTTCCTCTGGATAGTTACAACATTTTTTCTTAAGCTTTGAAGAATGTATAACATTAAGATGACGAATTACGGTCTGCCACCTGTGAGCAAAAAATCTATGTGTGATTTACAAATTTTAATAAGTTAAGAGAAACAGTATGTGATATCACAAAAAAATTAAATTAATTAATAATAGCATACTGTCTTATTTTTTTATTGCTGGCATGGTGACTACTGATAATTACTTTATGATTGTACTAATCAATTTTTAATGATCTTAAATCAGTGAATCACTATTAATTTTGGACTATGTAATTTTTTTTTCTGAGGTCATCTCTTATTTTTATAGATTGTTGCCGCTGTTACATTTTAAAGAAATGATCAATGATTTTTTTTATACTAATTTTAGGCATGAAAAACCTACAAATCCAGACGATCCATTAGCCGATCAAAACATTAAAGATAGATATTATGGTGCAAATGATCCTGTCGCTAATAAACTACTAAGACGAGCATCGGCTATACCAAAACTTGAAACACCTGAAGATATGACAATAACTACTTTATATGTTGGAAATCTTGGAGAAAAGATTACTGAGAAGGAATTAAAGTATGCTTTTATGAGATTTTAAAATTTTTTTTTTTGAGATTTTAATGATCTTCGAAGAATAATGTCTTGTGTGAAGTATTCGATTATTTGATATAACATTAATTATATTTATATCAATTATTTTCTTACTATACATATTCAATTATTTGAATTATTCAACATTATAAATCTGAGATATACTTAAAAATATCAATGAACATTTTTTACTTTTTTTTTGTGAATGTACATATTCTTAGTTGTATGAGCAAAACTTAATTGAAACATATTTATCAAACAAGATAATAGTTTGTCAATGTTGGTAAAAAATAATATTGATAATACCAATGTGCTGTTTGTTAGGTTGGGTATCGAAAAAAAAAGGAAAATTTGTAAAAATAGAAAAAACAAGGAAATGTGTATAATAAAAAAAAACAGAATTTTGAAGAAATATGACCGAATTAATAAAAATTATGTATAGTGTAGTACAAAAACCCATTAAAAATTTACAGCCAAAAAAACAACATAAACGAAAAACAGGGATAAAAGGTATTTACCTGGATCATAGATGAGTTTACAAAAAAATTCTCCAACAATCTGTGGTTACATTCTAGGAAATCTAGATGAATAAGTCACTAATAAAACATTTATTTCAAACTAAAAACTCTTTATTATGAGGATCCATATTGAATGGCAAAAACAGTGTCCAATACACAGTCTCTGGTGGAGAAGTGGGTGAAAGGCAGGAAATTCAAGAACAAGGAAATTTTAGATGAAACTGACTTAGACGAAATCAAATTCAGACTGCATGTTGACGATCATTCTCCTCCATCTTAGAGATCAATTTTATCCATTAATCAATAAGTGAGAACCGGACAGCTACCGGAAGCCAAGGTGTTAGCAGCATTACCGACAGTTAAAGCACACTCCCGGATTTGGGATTCTTGATAAGAAAACATCCATCGCAAACAGTTTTCTCAAAACCGAAGATAACGTTTATGTTTTTATGAAAAAGATTTTTATGATCTATCAAAATTCGGAATTTTTTTTGGAAGGCATATTGAGGCTTCTATATAAGCTAAAAAGGCAGTCAGTGGAATTTTTACATGGCGGAAGAAAAGGTTCATCTCACAAATGAGAAACAACACAAAAAAAATGGCAAAAGGAGACGTCAGCCTTACCTCCTAACGAGGACAGGATATTAAAAAATAAAACACGCAACAGCTTGACGCGGAATATGATACTCTCGAATTTCGAATGCACCGAGCGTCTCTTGCGCTCAGATATTTATACTAAACTAAAGTCGAAGTTAAATTACTTATTTTACTGCAAGTTTAGTTGTAAACTCAAATGAAAGTAGAGGTGTTAATTTTTTTTCAAAAGTTACGGTTGAAACAAACTAACAATCGTAGACTCCTCACGGAAGATGAAAGATACTGCTAACAGCTGTTTTTGGAGAAAGGGTAGGGCTGAAATGGAATGTGCAAAGAATTTCCGGGTGAGAGTGTCCTAATTGCATTAAAGATTAAGGGACGAAAAGAATCGGATCAGCAAATTTAAGATTTGAAACAGGAATTAACAAAATTGCATAAAGATTTTAAATTAGACTTGTGACTCGATGTCACAACCAATCATTATCTTATTCAATTATTTGAGACGAAATTAATTATATTTATATCAATTATTTTATTACTATACTCATTCGATTGAATTGTTCAACATTTTAAATCTATAAGATATACTTAAAAATACCAATATGTATTCTTTACTTTTTCTTGTGAATGTATATATTCTTAGGTGTATAAGGGGAACTTAATTGAAACATATTTATTTAACAAGATAACAGTTTGTCAGTGTTGATGAAAAATAATATTGGTACTATCATTCATTACCTTATTCAATTTCTTAAATTAATTATTTTTTATTTTTAAATAATAAGAAAAATTTCCCAATATTATTAATGATGTATTTCAGTATAAGCCTAACTCTTAAATCTAAGATGCAAAGCCTTTTCTTGTTTTATTTGTAATTACAAATCCAACACATCTGCATAGCATCTATTTTTAAATTTAAAAAAAAAATTAAACATTTTTAATTACACATGACTCACAATAAAATTATGGTGTTTTGAAATTATTAAGACATATAGTATGATGAAACTCTTGTATATTAATGATACTAATGAAGAATGAAATTTCTTGACAATTTTGGTGAAGAGTATTCAAAATAATTACTCTTAATAATACAGGGTGCGTAGCGTTTGTAAAAAGTACTTAAAGGTGCTTTTTTGGGGATTTCGTTTTTAAAAGCTTTTGAAGGTGCTTTTTTTCAGCTGGCGTTTTTAAAAAGTGCTTTTTTTTTCGAATAATTTTTTTTCTCCCTTCAGTGATATCTGGTGGATCCCATGCATTTCACGAAAAATGGGGAGTTTGCTACGTAATAATTCACGCGGACTTCGTGTCGTACCCACGTTATGACTTGCGCATGCGCGCACACTTGAAACCGAAACCCGAGTGCTCCAATTCGGATAGAGAATATCAGATCCTTATAAAATGTTTTTCTTTTTAATTTATTTTAATTTTGTTCTTGTTTATTTTATTTTACTTCTAACACTTTTTTTGACGTAGGGGTTGTTCTGAGTTCAGGGTCAAGTTGAATTCACTCGGTGATGTGGGAAAGTACTGATTGTTTCGATTTACGCCCGTTTCTTTTTGGGGGTTTTTAACGCTAAAACTGTTTATAAAAAGTTTTTGTTTTTCAATAATATCATTGATTGAATATGAATTTTTTGAGTGCTTGAAAAGTTTTTACAAAATGCTTATTTTTGATTCAAAGATTTGGCTACGCACCCTGTAATAAGTTAATTGTAGTATTTGACACTGCACTTTTATACGAGTTCATCACAATAAGATGTTAAAAAAAAAAAAAAAAATTTTCAGCCAAATTTAGCAATCCATGTCAGATGGCTTACATGATTTCCAAATTTAAATCACAATCCATACATTAATCACTCTTTTATGTTAATCTTTTTATATTTTATGTAAATATTATATTTACTCTGCCATTCTCTATTTTTCAGCTATAAAATTTATTTTCTACATTTTTATTCTGTTTATCGGTACCATTTCAACCAGAGTATTAACAATTTACTTCAATTATTTGAAATTTGTATGTTAATTATGGTAGAAAGGATTGGTTGCATGGATAAAATAAACTTTAGTAAGCTTGATCATTTAATTATTTGAAAGCTATAGAGAAGAAATCAAAATTTTTAGCTGGCATGCTGTTACCTTTGTGCATAATTGGTTGATTATTAAAAAGGGTGTCGTGAATAGGGTTATAAGCATAAAAGTTTCAAGAAATTGCGAAAGTTAAAAATATATATAAAAGATTATAGATACTATATATATATATTTGATAGTCAATTATTTTTAAACTTTTGCTGACATTTCGCAGATTGATTTCATTTGTCTCTTTAAGAAGTGTCCCCTCTTTTAGTGGCACTGTAATGCACAGTTTTAACAACGATGCATCTGTTTTCATGATAGTTAACTCCTTTTCTTTAATAATGAAATTTTAAATATTTAATTTATATGTGCCTCAGTTTTTTTTCTTTAGTTATTAAATATTATTACAATTGTTTTAGCTGAAATATTTGATGCAGATGATAAAGTACTATTGTGACATTTACTGTTGCTGGCGTTCTTACAGCTTTATTTGCCGGAATATTGCTTGCGTGCAGTGTTCAACGTCGTCGAGAGAGTGACAACATAAAATTGATTCAGAATAAACAGACTGATTCGAAGACTAAACAAGATATGTCATCATTTTAAATTTATTGGTAAATTTTAATAAAATGTCTTCAACTTTCTTCAAATGGTCTAAACTATCTTACATAAATTATTCATTCTATCACTTTTGTATTATTTTTTTATTATTGAAAATACAGGGTTCCCACGGTCCTTGAAAGTGCTTGAAAAACGTCTTAGGTCCTTGAATTTGTCCAATACTGCCGGCGGCCCTTTTTATAAAACACCCGCGGATCTTTCTCGTTCTTTCTGTTTTGTTCCCGAGCTCTCTCACGTGGTTTTTAACGCCACCGTTTCTAACCGGGCCTAGCGTCTTGGTGTCTGCCAAGCGTGCGGAGCACAGCAGACAATCAATGCGTTTGGGGCGAGACTCCACTTCATTTTCTGTCGCATATGCTTAGATCTTCTTTTTTCTTATCGAAACTGGAATACTCTCGAATTTCGTAGCAATATGTACCTTGTAGTTTTCAATAAATTTGCCGTTTTACCATCCGCACTTGTCCTTACGTTTGCGTCATTTCAAAACTTTATTGTAAAGCGTATTCGCAAAGGCACGGCTTATTTGTGTTATGTAGTTTAGACTAGTTATGCCTGGGAAGTGCTATTTTAATCCCCAATGGATGGATATGGATTTTATCGATGCCCGAAAAGAAGTTCAGAGCCAAGTGCCGATTATGCATGAAGGAGATCGATATCGCTAAAATGGAAGAATCTGCTCTGATATCACACATGAAAGAAAGGTAAAACAAAAAAGCAGTCTCATGCCCTGAGTTCTCTTTTTTTACTGTATAATGTTATCC